TGAGCCATTGAATAAATAAATAAATATATAAAGAGAATAACAATTTATCAGAAATAGTATGCCAAAATTTTGGGCAAAATTAAACGCATGCTAATTCCGGGATTTTTTTTTGAAATTTTGTATTTTCTTTTAACAACAAATTTCGGCTGTAAATATTTTCCAAAAATTTTGTACTGATTCTTCCAACCATTTTAAATAGATTTTTCAACCATTCCTTAAATTAAAGATTTTGTCCAACTTAAATTTAAACTATCGACTTCCAAATCTGGTATCAATTTCTTTTGTATTTCAAAATTCAAAAACACCAACACACACGTTTTTTAGATATAAATATTTTTCACAAAATTTTGGACCGATTTTTCCAACCCTTTTGGACGGATTTTTCAACAATTCCTTAAATTAAGGATTTTGTTCAACTTAATATTTCAAAATATCGACTACAAAATCTAGTGATATGCATTTCAGAATTCAGAAGCACCAATGCACATATTTTTAAGATATAAACTTCGTAGAATGAAGGGTTTGGTTCAATGGGAAATTAGAAAAACTTTACTTACATGTTATTATAAAAATCACACATTTTCAAACTTTTGACTTATTTGCTTTAAATTTTTCGAAGATTCATAAATGATTTCAAATTCTAAATGATTCCAAATTCATTAGTTTCTAAAAGGTGAAGTTCTTCTTATTTTGGAGTCTTTTCACGTAATATGCAATTACTAATATTTTATATACTTTTAAACATGTTGTTTTAGCAAAATTTTAATACATTCTATAGACTAAGTGTGTGTTAAATTTAAATATCCTTAGACATGTTCTAGTAGAATTAAATAATCAACAATAAACCTATGTGCAGTGAATCTAGAGGTTTAAAGTTGAAAAATTGCGGCTTATTATTTGCAGGCTCAGAGACGTTGTAGATTTCTGTTGTTGAAGATCGTCTGAACTCTCTGAATCCGTTGGGTAGCCAGAGTATAGCTTGGTCGAACACCACAGGTCGTAGGGGAGGTCACGCGGTGGCGTTGGTCACAATGGGCCAGTCGCGGTCGTCGGGGAGGACGTACGAGATGGTCGTGTGCTGCGTACGGGCGTAACAAGTAGTGTATTCCAATTATACCCAATTGTATTACTATCATACATCTTTTAAAAGTCATTTTGATTTACCAGTCAATTCTTCTTCTCTCTTTTCCTTCTCTCTCGTAGATCCAAAACCACTCTTCAATACCCACAGTCCATTTTGCTGCAAGCTCTCGTCTCCCCTTTCCCTGGGATTCTGTGGCCGCCCCGCACCCAATTCCCCATCTCCTCTCCTATCAGAGCCTCCCTGCAAAACCCTAACCTTGACGCTTTCCATAGTCAGATGCGGTTGAAGATGATGGTTGCACAGTTCGACGACCTCATAGACGAGACGCTATGGGCCGTCGGCCATGAGCTAGACTCATGACCAGATATGCTTGTGGACAACGGCCTTCAGTCGGGGACGACGGGCGATTAGTGGCAACCTGATCTGTTGGGCACGGGCTGCTACTTTCAGTCGAAAGAGGCAGATGCAATATCGACGACCAGAATCCATACGACAACAATAGTTCTCTGTTTGTTGTTTTCGGCCCTAATTTGGCCCGATCGTCTGGGATCAGGATACCGATCAGATTTTTTTATTGTTAATGAAAAGTTGTTTTCATGTTATTTGAATATTGTAATGGTGATTTTTTGTTATAAAACTTAAGTTGTAAATATTTTGTTGTTAATATAAAAATATTGCTTCAGATATTATATTGTTGTTTTATTGTTACGACACCCAACATCTTATTTTGCATGACGTGTTTTTTGGTTTCTTTGATGATGTTATTGTAATCCTTTTATATTTAATTAGAGTTGAGGAACTGTAGTTTGTTGTTCACTCTATGAAGTTAAGAGCCTTTTGTTCTTATAGAATGACAAAATAATATTTCTCTTTTTCTCTTGACCGGTTTAATCTATCGTTGTTGCTCGGAGACGAGAAAGAACTATTGTTTGTGTTTCTTAATTTTTCCTTCGAAATTGTTTGAATAAGCAGAAGAGCAGTTTGCTAATTTCATTGTTATGTATTTATATTACCTATTGATATATATAAATATTTTTTTGGTGTTTTTTTCTTATCCATTCATGTTTGAAGAAGAAGAAGAACGTAGAAAAGAAAAGGAAGAGAGAAACCCCCACGTCATATCTTGTTGGTAGCGCGATCGCCCTCGCTTGGCCCAAATGCACTACGTAGGGGGGTCGAATTCTAGAGCGAGAGAACCCTAGACAACTTTTCCTCATTTGGAGGAAACGACACATGCTAGTCATCATCTCTGTGGCATTAGATTTTATGGGGCGCTAGGGTATAAAAGGGGCATTACGGCTGACAGCAGGCCACATCCCGCGATTTACCTCTCAAAGAAGTCGATGGACCTGGGTCCAGAATTGAAAAAAATGAGAGAAGTGTATTTTATAGCTTCTTTCTTTTATAACATCTTGTATCTATTTTTTGTTTTGTTTGTTTTTTACTTATCAGAAGCATCTTCAATGGTATGTGGATTGCTTTATTTTATTGTCACGTAGCCCAAAAAATCCAATGCGGTATTTAAAATATGTAGAAGTTTTTCTAGATGCAGAAAGACTTCTAGACATCTTCTATTATATTTTATATTATTTATTTTATATTTTTCTGTTCACCAACCAATTATTATCTTACATGTGTCAAATTATTCCACAATTGACATTAATGGAGACAAAAAATTTTATTCCCTTCATCCACACCATTCATCTCAAAATATACATTAAACCATTGTAGATGCTCTTATTCTACTATGTATCCATGTTTTTTTTTTTTTCTTTTAAAGAGGATCAATAAAATTCCCACTTCACCTCATTGGTCACTCGAACACATGATCTATCGGTCATAGGTGAAGCATCTTACCACCAAGACGCATTCTTATTCTACTCTGTAATTCATGTTTTTTTTTAAGGAGAATCAATAATGCCCTCACTTCCCCTTATTCGTGACTCGAACTCATGACTTATTATTGGTCAAATGTTAAGGGGGTGATTGTTTATGGATTGGATTAGGTTATATTTGATTTATTTTTAACTATAGTTAATTTTGAAAAAAAAAGTGGTATGGTTAGTTGTTAGTGGATATATTAAAATAATATTTAAATAAAATAATTAAAGTTGATTTGATGTAAAGTAAGAAAAAAATGATTGGAAGTGATAGTTAATTAGAATTATGTGAGTGGATGAATAGTGAATTAAAGTTGATGTGATGTGTAAGAATGATTGATTGATATTATTTAATTATATTGATAATATTGATGATAGTGAGGTTGAGTTAAAATTGAGTTAAATTTGAGTTTGAATTGAGTTTTTTATTACTGAACTCATATACAATCACACCCTAAACTTCTTACCACCAAACTGTCTTGTATTCATGGTAAACATTCTGGTTAGTATTTTTGCCCAGCCTACCACAACCACGCCAGTGCTCCTTCATTGCCCTATTCTGAGCCCAAGACTTCAATCGGCGGCCCATGTGAAGCCCATTAGGAGCATGTGAGAGTGAGACGCTCAAGAAAAGGTCCGTCACTTCAAAAAAATTGAATTTATTTTCTTCCTGAAGGCGGGAAATTCCAGGCTCTGTAATTAATTCCGTGCGGCCAAAACGCAAACAGTTGGCGTGCAGGCAGCAAAGAGATCCGAGAGAGAAAATGTCGAAATTCGAGTACCCGCGGCTCCCTCGCCAAGAGCTCATCACCGTGCTGGCCGAATCCCAAATCGCCGTCGTGTCGGAGGCCGACCTCCTCCGTCCCGATCCGGAGCAAATATGCAACCTCTACGCGCACATCTTGTTCCACATAGATATCTTCCAGTTGAGCAGAAAATAATTAAACCCTAGAACTTGAAAATCCATGTTTTTTGTGACCTTACTCTGTTGGAATTCCATTTTCTATGAATTCTGCAGGGAGGACCAGGGGCAGATTGAGTTTGGGGCGTTGGAGCAGCTCGAGAACCCGGATCATCACACCCACTCGGTTCCGATCATTAATTTGTACAACAAGGTCAGGCAGCTTGTGGCCGCCGTCAATTGCCCCAAATCCTTTACTCCGAAGGATTTGATAAAGCCGGAGCCTGATCGCACGGAGCTTTTCCTCAGCGCACTTCTCAATTTTCACCTCCACAGGTGCATTGTCTTTCTTTTCAATCATTTGCTCTTCATTTTCATTTTTTTTTTCACTATGATGTGGGTTGTGTCTGTTTTTT